CACCTGACCAGAAGAGGGCTCAACAACCTCAGCAGGACATTTATGAAAACAATGCCGGGCATTCGAAGCAGCGATATTGGCCGGTAGTCGTTACACTCCGTTTTTACCCTTTAACTTTGTACAGGGAAACTATAATTCATTTCCCCATTCGCTTGGTTATTCTAACAGTACAAATAGTTTGTGAAGATCTGTACTGACTGGTGCGATGGTTCATTTCATGAGCTTTACTTGTATGAAGCTGTGATCGGCCGTTCAGCCACATCCGAGTCAGCAGATGGCTGCAAACTTCCGCAACCGTGGAGGGTGCAGCAGAGGTTTCCGTTTCAGGGTCTGAGGTGACCGCGGCGTCCCTCAAGTTTTGCCATGGCGCGGAGACGTCCCAGTTCTAAACCGATTGGCAGTGTTCCAGCCATCGGAATGATACTTGGACAGCTGAAGTGCACGCGCTCCCACCAAACCGCTTGATCGACGATGCACGTGGGCGCCGATTATCTGTGAAGGCAGTTTGATCATTCATATACGATCAGTAGTCAGATTTGTTACGTCTAGCCTTTTCCCTGAGTCTTTGCGTGTAAGATGCTTTGTTAACGCTGACATCCCAGGCGATATCCATACTCCTACATGCTTCTGTCTCCATTATTAGACGTCGAATGCTTCCTCAGAGGAAAAAAACAATTTTTTCCTGTCCTTCAATCAGACCAACTTGTCAGCTGACCTCCTTACCTTAGACCTGGGTTGCTCTGTTGATGGAACGTCTGACTCAGAATTGAGAGTCTGAGGTTCCGGCTTCTGGCGTTGGTCGGATTCATTCATTCGGAAGGAAACAGGAGATTACACATCATGCTGGCCACATCGCTGCCCTCGACTCTGCCCTTTACCCATAATAATCGAGGCACGCGTAGCTGATGGTGGGTGTCATAAATGGCCCCGGCGTGAAAGTGCAAGGAATCGTAACCTCCTGATTGACGCGTTGATCCGACGAGGTCCAAGGATCGAAGACAGCTGACGATGTCGATGGCGTGTGCATCAACTGTGCCTTTGTTCTTCATGGCTCTTCTTTTAGAGAGGCAAGATTCAGTACGAAGTCCTTGTATAGAACTGGTAAAATATATGGCAGAAGAAACGCTAGGGCACAATAGAAGATCCGGTTGCAGCAACGGCTGACACTCTACAGTTTTATACAACCGTAGATTACCACTGGCTAACTGACTATTTAATCGATTTCTCTATTTCTCTATCGTTTCGTATTCCCACAATACGCAGACCTGTTGCGGAAGCCTGTGCTTGAGAACTGCGGTGCTGCGTAAGCAAGTCAAACAAAAGTTTTAAAGATTTGTTTTGTCAAGGCGGCATTTTCTGTCTCTGCCTAAAAACCGGTTTCCGCGAAATCTGCGAAGGGCCAGAAGTCATTTTCGAAAAAAGGAGCTATTGCGAAGCACACACGTTTCTTTGAATGACAAAATATTGACCAAAATTAATCTGTGTCCCAGGAATCTATTTGCTCATACTCAAGATTCTCGTCCGACGAAGTATCCTGTTGCAGTGCTCGGCTGTTCGACCTGGTGACGTGTTGCTGGCGCTTCGACGCAAACTGGTTTAACGAAAGGGATTGGCGCCGACACACGACTGAGGACGGTGAGGGCAAAGGCAGAGGTTTGAGGACCTGGCTGGCCCAGAGTCACAGCCTCAAACGCGAATCTTTCGAATCATCGTTCGTTCGTCCGTTCTTCATCGCTTCAGCCATAGCCAATGTTGTGGGTCATCGTCGTTGCTCCTTGCTGACCGCCCGACCGACTGACAGATCGAAACCGAAACACTTTCCTGCTTTGCAACGGCTACATCAAGAGAACTCGGTCTGCTGCTCGTTCGCTCCGAACTCTCTTGCTTTCCTCCTCTCTGTCGTACACACCATACCGGCCGGCTTTCGCTGGCTGCGCCGTCGCAGTCGTCGACGTTCTACGTTCTTCAACGCCAGTTTTAGCAGGTCGCTGTCAGGTGCGGTGGTCGGTCTCTCGCTCGGTGGCTCGGTCTATCGCTCATCGCGTCATACGCACGCTTCCTGCTCACTTCGCACCACATACGGTAAGCGCTTTGATTCGCAGGCTCGGTGGTCGGCAACGAGGCTTAGAGTACGGGTCAGCAGCTCATGACGTCATGCGCAGTGGCCATCGATCAACACGTGTCTGTCGTCCGTCTGACCTTGCCGTATTCGTCACCGTGCTTTGTGTCAGTCGCACTGCCTACCAAAGAAACCGCACGACTTCCATCGATCGATCGATCGATCGATCGATCTTGTTACCGTTCAAAGCAATTGGCGCTCACGTGGCCATGTCGTGCCAACCTTCCAATGGCCAGGTGAGAAAGTGTCGTTCTCGCGGGACCACCTGTCGACGTTGGACGACCAATCGCTACAGCTGACTGTAGTGTAATGAGTTATATGTTCGGGATTTACGGACACGGATCCGTGTGATACCAAAATTTGTTGGTTTTCGAGCTTGTATCCCGGTGCCTCGCCACCTGCGAACCTTTCCTTATTCGGCAGAGTATCCAATTCCCACTTGTGATTGCAACGAGGGCAAAAATAATGCGTTCGATGACGCCGAGGTTAAGTAAACAGTCGCCGCCGCATGACAAGCACCGCCGACTCTACCAATACTTACTCACTCACGTTTATCAACTCGTCGGCTGTTATGCTCCCCCGTCCTGGTGAGCAGACATCGTTCAGTGTTCAGTGTGTGTTCTTTCGTTCGTTAGTCCGAGTGCGCAGATCGGCTGTGATCGAGAACGGGTTCGCCACACCTGGCACCGGGTAAGCGCACGTTAAGGTTATGCAGTGATGTTCGGTGGCTGGCCTCGTGTGTTGTGCGGTTTGCTTCCATGGTCCCACTCACCCAGCGGCGTGCACAGCATATTTTCGATGTAAACAGCAATTCGTCGAGTACACCTCATTTTGTACTCATTGTTCGCCACGTCATCCGGGCGTTCCAACAACACGAACGAAGAACGAAGAAAAGCAACGAGATGAGAGACGGTAACGGCACAGTCGGACCGAACGCGCATTCCTCTCAGTCAAGTGTCGGCACCGGTACCGCGCTAACGAATAAACGAACTTTATAAGAGACTGCCGACTTGCACCCGGCAGCACCGTTCACCGAGGGTCATCAAACTGCAACCTGCAGGCAGACACGCTGATCTCTAGCAAACACCACTTTGCGAGAAAGGAAACAAGGGACTACGCGCGGTACTTGCCACATACCTCTGGACATTGACTTTGAAGTTAAACATTCGTGGCTAATTAAATAAAAACGGAAATCAGCGCCGAGCCATAAGCTCCATAAAGGGCTGTTCCACAAATTGTACATCCCCGTTCTCGATGTATAAAAGAGACCGCCATTCCAATGGCCACAAAAATGTGATTCTTGTTTCCTTCTCCAAGAACTACTAGTTCTACTGCGCGTCTATTATAAATTTCCATCTCTGAGACATGGCTCATTTCATCTTATAAGACTGCCGCCTTTTGTCATGCGTGCCGTACTGGTTAAAGTAGTGAGACCTTGAGTCTTGAAGCGACAGAAATAAGGTTCCGTCGAAGGTCCGGAGTAACAAATCTTACAAAATCCGGAATATGTGAGTGGAAGATACCCTGGCTTGTAATTCGTCCTTCATCTGGTCAATTTGCGATGCTTTGCATATGTGTCAATCATTCCAGCGATGAAACTGAGAAAACTACCTGGAATGGGGATGTTGGACCAGATGGTTGCATTATTTTGAAGACATGACAATGTCGGTCCCTGAGAACCAGATCACGGAGCTTGTCTCTTTGGCGACAGACGAAGAACATTCGAGAGGCTTTCTGACCCAGCTGACTCTGCTACCTTAAAGAAATGACTTAAGTTGAAAACAAATGAGTGAGTTCTTTTGACCGGCTGAAAGCGTTTGGAAATGAAGTTGAAACGCTGTTCGCACTCTTCATAAACTCTTGGTTAGAAATTGTCGGTACTTTGCTATGTTATTTCCCTGCAAAAGATTTGCTCTTTGAGGCAAGAGCGCGATCATTCTCGAAATCGAATTTTCGCCCTGGGCTGATAATTTCTCTGGATAGTCAGCTATCACGGGAGTCTAGGTGAAATGCAGCCACAACTAGAGTTCTCATTGGACATCTTGACCGTATACCTCGTCCATTCTGGCACGACCATTCCAGAATACAACGCAGTCCTCATTGTTCTCAAATCGTCGAGTTACTACCGGTTTTTCTGCTGATTGCGCCGAAATATTGTGAGTTCTTCTGTTGCTCAAAAATTAGCGCTTAGACACAGATTGTCCTTCAGAAGAAGGATTCGAACCCAACAGCTAGAGTTCAAAGCTAATCTCTTTTCAACTGGTGCCACGCCCCAAATACTTTCTCTTTTATCACCCATGTTTGAAAGCCACCTAATTAACAGCTATGCTCGATTAAACTGGTCTCCAGCTTAGGTCAGATTTATGTTTTACTGTATACTCAGTTTTTGAACGTTTTGATCAGTGAGTGCCAAAAAATTGAACTTTTCTCTGAGTTTAACATTGATGTTTAAAAGACATTAGTACAGACTGGTGGGAAATTTCAATAGAAATGGGCTCAGAATCGAGTCTATAGCACGTCGATATTCATTCATTCTGCTCAGAAGAAAACACGCATGAGAACGTCTGAAGCGGGTGCGGCTTGAACTCCAATCAGTACAATTCCCACGAATGGCGGAGAAAACAAAACAGTGCAAAATCACCCATAAGTTCTTACCGTCCAAAAGAGATGCTGATAAATTATGGGTAACATTTTCTTTTGCAACTTATTAAGGTACGAGAAGACCAGCTTCATGTAATTATGGTGATATTGTTAGCCTACCATATTGGAAGTTCATGGAGTCTTCACAACTGTCATATCAGCTAAATTAAGTACACCGTTCTGAACTTCGTATGTGCACATGGGCGATGGTTTACTCGTCTTCGTCTTCCACAGACGTCACAGATGGTTTGCT